CACACGCTGTCTGTCCAGGCACCAGCACCACAGTTGCAGCCGCCTGCTCAGGTTTGGCTGCGGGGGAGAATAGTGATCCGGTGACTCACGTGCCAGCAGAAAGGGCTCCGCGTGCCAGCTGTGGCACCCATCCCATAGGTTCGCCATTGCTGCTATAGGGTAATATGTCACCATTATACTCAGAACACCCTTCAAGGGATGCAACAACAAAACTAATGACTCAGTTCCAATATGATTCTCTCAACAATCAATCTACGAAAGATTAATCTGAACATTGACACTGCATTCTTATATTCCTCTAGAGTTAATTCCCAGGTAAGTAGCTATCAAATTGCAGTTGTTCCCAAGATATAAAAAGAAAAAAATAATCTGAAGATCTCAAAAGACACCCATACTCACTAGCACTTCATATAAACTAGCAAACATTTGAGGATGAACTACAGTATGTACTCTACATTTCACTGCATTTCTGCACATATCATCTGGTAAATACACAACATATTTTGACACAGCTTACTATTCTATGCATTGGTAGATACCAAATTCTCTCTCCTGCCCATCTAAGCAGAAAAGGAATGGAATGGGCTCCTCTGATATTTCACATTGTTTTGGAGAAAAAGCAGGAGCTATTCTCTGCACCCACAGAAAGTAATTAAAAACTGGTCAAATATGAGGACATGGACACACTCAACAATTACGGTATTAACCATGCTAGTAAATAGAACCACCATTTTTAGAGGCAGGTTATTTTTGAATATGGGGAATTTAGAAAATGTGGTAAAATGTATTTAATCTAGAACTTTCACAAGGGTGGGGAGTTTCAGCCCAAAGTGTCAAAATTTAGGTCTAGTACTGGTCTGAATAGGCTCCTTAGATGGACAATGGATGGGGGAGTGAGTGAAAATCTCACCTCTGCAGTCCTTCTCTACCCATTGTCATGGGTTGTTAACAGTCGTTAACAGTGCTCTTTCTGGTGGGTGTGGTCCTGATCTTTGTGGGGAATGGATGAAAGGGCAGCATGATAAATAGGAGACAGATTGTATCTGAGGCCTCCACCCATGTTGAGTGAGATATTTTCTATATGCACATGTATGGCCTTCCCAGCCCCCTCTCTCAAACCACCCGTGTTCTCGGTCCAAAATGAATACATCTTGGTCATTAAATGCGTGTCCTTTGTCATGAAGGAACACTGATTGTGATTCTGAGTCATTGCCCCTCCTGTGCTGGGCCATTCTCCTGTTTAGTGGCTGTTTGGTTTCTCCAATGTAGAGCTCCGAACACTCCTCTTTGCAATGGACTGCATATACTATATTGCTCCTGTTGTGTTTTGGTATCTGGTCTTTTGGGTGGACAAGTCTCTGCCTTAGTGTCTTTGTGAGTTTCAAGTGCACGATAATGTGGTGTTTACCAAAAATCCTTTTGAATGTTTCAGAAATACCTGCCATGTAAGGAATGATCAGGTTCTTCTGTTGGCTCTGGGTCTCAGACTATTCCACTGTCCAGCTGGATCGGGACACTGCCTTCGGCTCTGGGTCTCAGACTATTCCATTGTCCAGCTGGATCGGGACACTGCCTTGTTAAAAGCCCATTTTGGATAAGGGCTGTCTTCATATGTTTATCTTCCTTCTTCTTGGCTTCTGTGGAGTTGGGGCGATGTTTCTTGCTCTGCGGTTTTGTGTCCTGATGACCCCTAGTTTGTGTTGCCATGGGTGATGAGAGTCAAACAGCAGGTATTGATCAGCGTGTGTAGGTTTTCTGTAGATTTCTATTCCTAAACTGCTGTTGGATCCTATGATGACTACTCAGTCCAGGAAAGCCAATTGGTTGTCTTTAGTGTCTCCCCTGGTGAACGTGATATTTGGGTTTATGTAGTATCTGAAGGCCTGTACTTCCTGATCTTCACCCAAGGGTTGTCCACATACCTGATCAGATACAATCTATCTCCTATTTATCATGTTGCCCTTTCATTCCTTCCCCAGAAAAATCAGGACCACACCCACCAGAGAGAGCATTGTTAACGACTGTTAACAACCCATGACAATGGGTGGAGGAGGACTGTAGAGGTGAGATTTTCACTAACCCTCCTGTCTCTCCATTGTCCATCTAACAAGCCTATTCAGACCAGGGGGAAGTGAAACCAATGTGGAGGATATATCAGGAGTCTCCTACCAACTCTCCCCAGACTAAACAAGCTACTTGGATAAGTAATGAAACATTTCAACCTAATAAGAAAAGTTCAGTTGCCATGACTCAACTTCCAGACCTTATTCAGTATTAGTTTGCCTCACAAATTAAGAAAAATAACAAAAAGAAACAGCAAAAATTACTGTTACATCATCATGCTGATAACACCATAGTACTTTTCACAGTATTGTTCATAAGAAATATCCTCTCCTAAAATGAAATTTATGAGATTACTATGAAGCCAATCCACTGTTTAAAATAAAGCATAGGCTTTTAAAAATAATTTCAAACTTCCCATTCGGTGTATTTCTCAGCAACTATGTGCTTAAGCTTAAAAGGATCCACCGTATCTCCAGCAACATTTTAAAACAGAATAGGGAAAATAACCAAGATTTTGCTGATGTCATATATTTCATGGGGAGGGGCGATCACATCAAGAGTACTGGAGTATATTTTTCCTAGTTTTTCTAAAACATTGGGAAGTACTATGGATGCCTGAGAACCAAATTTAACCAAAGTGGCTAATTCTGTTTCAAGATCATTTCTGTCTTGATCAAGTTAACATAAACATGCAACACTGATTTCTTATTTGTAAATGTTTTTCCAGGACTGGGTACAATGGACTCCTTGCATTATTATCCATTAATTCATTATTATCTTAGACAGGTTTTTGGTTTCTGGTGTCTTAACCAGGATTTAACATTAGAAAGTCCAGTACTTAACGGGCGCCCCCGTTTAACGACGAATCCGCATACCGATGTGGATTTTGTGATCGCAAAAGCGATCGCATTGCGATGTTCCCTATGGGGAAAAATCGCTTTGCGATTTTTCCATGGCCCTTCCCAGCCCCCCGCCGGTCAGCTGGGGGAAAATGCCAGTGGGAGCTTGAGAAGGACCACGGGGGAGCCCTCTTCCTCCGAGGAGGCGGCAGCGGGCGCTCATCCCCAGGCCGGCAGCGAGCGGCACTTCGGCCAGCTTGCTCCTCCTGGGGCAGTGGCGGCAGCGGGGGAAGGGAATGAGCCCTTGCGCAGCCAGGCCCCTGGCTCCGCCTCCCCCTTCACCCTCTCCTTTGAAAGGCTGGTAGCCGGTCGGCTTGTTCCTCCTGGGGTGGTGGAGGGGGAAGGGAATCCCCCCCTTCACCTCCTCCTCTTCCTTGGAGGAGGAGGCAGCCAGCGCTCAGCCCAGGGCCGGCGGCAAGCGGTGCTTCGGCCGGCTCGCTCCTCCCGGGATAGCGGCGGCAGGGGAAGGGAAAGGGCCCGGCACCTGGCTCCCCATCTCCCGCTTCACCTTCTCCTCTTCCTCCGGAGGCTCCTTCTGAACGCCTGCCGGCCAGCTGGGGGGAAATGCCAGCTGATCGGCGGTTCCAAAATGGCTGCCTGCTGTTTTCTGGATGGATTCCTCACTTACTGAGGCGGCGAAAATGGCCGCACCTATGGAGGATCCTTGCTGAACGGTGAGTTTTTGCCCCACAGGAACGCATTAAACAGGGTTTAATGCGTTCCTATGGGGTTTTTCTTTCCGTTTAGCGATGTTTCCGTACAGCGACATTAATCCTGGAACGGATTAACTTCCCTATGCGGGGCACCACTGTATTCCCATAAATACTGACAAAATCCTGTTTCGATAAATGTACACTGTACAAGCCAGATGATGTCAATATTTAGTGACATAAATCTTCAATTAAATTAAAAGCTTCCTATCCCCTCTTCTGGTTCTGTAGAGTTACCTTTTGCCACTAGAAAACCTTTATTAACCTCAGGATAGGAGCGGGTGGACGGGGGCCTTCATATCAGAAAATAGCTGCTGGTGGTCCCACTGCCAGATCAGGACCAACAGAAGAGACCTGGCTATGATTTTCTGATTTTAAAGTTTCAGAACATAAAGGGGTATATGCAGTGTTTAATTTGATTGTATTAAAGATCATGGTGTCATTTGACTTGCACAGTATAAATGTTATGTTAACAGGATTTCAGCCGTTATGTATTCAGACATAACCATTTTTTTCTCTTAAACTGTAATCACTTTGAAATTATTATTTTTTCAGTTTCCAGCTGGGATATATAATGTCTATTGGTATTCAAAAGACTGACAGTATAAGCACATCATAAAGAAGCATCAGACTAGAATGTTCAACTGCTTCTTTGCCACAGTTCTGATCACTACTTTTAGGCAATATTAAAGAAACCTCGCTTCCTTAAACAGAGAAAAAATCAGTTACTTAACTTCCTTGAAGTTTCAGAGAAAGTTACATTCTAGCCAGGCAATATGTGTTCAGAAAGTTATCTATACAATGGTCAATTTTGCTACTTCGTTCAAACACAAAAAAACAACAATCCACATGATTCTAGTTTGTATAAAAATGTCTTCCAGACACAATGTTGGATTATTGAACTGCCTTTTCACAGTTTTCTGAGAAATGCACTGTACATTCAAGCTTCAATAGATATTTATGCATATTTGAGGGCAGGATCTAACAAACTGGATAGATAAATGTACATATACAGAACCACAGCAAAGTACAGAAAACATTAGTAACTGTGGTACCGTGTTTCCCCAAAAATAAGACAGGGTCTTATATTAATTTTTGCTCCAAAAAACGCATTAGGGCTTATTTTCAGGGGAGGTTTTATTTTACAGTCATGCCATCTTCTGGTTGCTGCACAATGCTGCACAATGGTGGAGGGTGGGGTTTCACTTAACTAGGGCTTATTTTAGGGATAGGGCTTATATTACGAGCATCTTGAAAAATCATACTAGGGCTTATTTTCAGGTTAGGTCTTATTTTCGGGGAAACAGGGTATGAACAGAGAACTCACCTGGTAGCAGGAAGGCCTCTTTTGTTAAGATCAACTCTTACTTTCTCTCCCACATGTCTATAAATCTCCACAAAAGCCAATATTGCAGCATCTCTCACCTGTCAGATTACAGCGCATGAATTAAATCCTAGACAATATTCAATAGTAAAATGCATTTTAAGTCTAATCTTCCAGTGTTTTAGCCAACACTTTACACACTTACTTCTCAACAGTTGTGTACATAAGAAAGGGAAATAACTGAAACAAGGCTGCAAATATTTAAGGAATCAGCTACATCACTATTGGATCTTTTCAAATGTACTGACCAAAAAGTTTGAAAAAACAAAAATAATATACTACTGTATTATACTTCTTCAAACCCCAATGAGGCAGATCTGAGAAAGTAAACTTGTTTAATATACTGTAGTGCACTAGATCTTTCTGACCTATATCATAATATATTGTGATATATTGTACTGCACTGGACGTAATTGACCCTTAGCTTTATGATCACATCCATCACATGAAGATGAATTTATCTTTGCTTCAAGCAAGTCTGTCAATTAGTATAGCGGGCCAACTGCCATCAACAAGTGGAGTTGACACTTTTCTCCCTGACTTTACCTATAGTGTCTGCCACTACTGTACTTGAGCCCATGGTAGCAGTGTTTTCAAGCTTCCCTCACTTGCAGAGTGGAGATGCTGTTGCTACCGGATCCCTTTCATTCATAGGCTAACTTGCAAAAGTGGTGTAATAGCTTTCCCAGGTATTCTGTGAGATTCTATATTCACCACTAAGCTAAAAGTAATTAAAAGAACTTTGTACAAAAAAAATGAGGCCACTTCTCTTTCAATGATCTTTTCCTCCTCTCCCACTCATATGTCTACACATCTCTTTAAAAAGACAGTGTTTTCATGTGCATGAGAAAGAAGAATATATAAACCAAAGTAGTATTACATATTTTAGGTGAGGTGAGTAAAATCCCCTGCATTTTGCATCTTCCAATCTAGGAAGAATCAGATGTGTGAAAGTTCTATTATATTATAAACTGCAAGTCAAAGAGAACATGGGAAGAATATACAGACTTCTTAAAACAACTTTTTAAATATGCCTCATTTATGCATAGTATATATGCTGTATCTTGTTTCCAGAATCCTAAAGTATAATCCCATCTTCCTTGGTATTAGTGCTGGGCTGAAATCTTAAAGCTATGTCAACCATATAATACTGTCTTGATTTCTCGGGAGGTGGGTCAGATTATTTTCTCCCAAATCTTGCTCTTTTCCTTAACCAAACAAAGTTTGGTCTACCCGAATCACCCGACATAGCCAGCAGGGACGGCTGAGGGGACTGTTGCCAAGGGAGGCCCGGAAGGAGAAAACAAGAAACCGGGCCTTCTCGGCGGTCGTCCCTCGGCTGTGGAACACACTTCCCACTGAAATTCGGCTGGCACCCTCGCTGGGTGTGTTCAAAAACCAACTAAAAACTTGGTTATTCAGACAGGCCTTCCCCCCAGTCACCTAAGTTCTTTTCTTTCCTTTTTTCTGGTTCTTAATTTTGCCATCTTGGATAGTATTAATTATAATAATTGCACTATGCTCATTATTTTTACGTTGTTTTAATGTATTTTAATCTTTGTAAGCCGCCCCGAGTAGACGTTGTCTAGAGGGGCGGGGTAAAAATTGAATAAATAAATAAAAATAAAATAAATAAAGTGTTAGTGGGATTATTTTATTAAAAGAATATCTACCGCTTGTAGCAGCTGATACGATTCTAAGACTGATATTCTTTTTATGCAACTTACATTTGCAAAAGGGGTGATGCCATCACCTGCAGGGCAAAATTTCTGGCAATTAAAAACTTGCTCTTTCTATCCTGCACCTTTTCTGACTCCCATGTAATCCCTTTCTTTGCACTTAACCCATGGGAGGCAGAACAGAAAGAAGTTTTTAATTACTGAACATCTCTTCTTGCCAATAACATTACCACCTTTTCACAGGTGTAAGCCATATAATAGGATTTCAGCCTATATGTTTCAAGTACTCCCATAAGACAGGGGAAACATACCACCACCATTTCATCAAATCCGCTTGTGAGACATACATACAGTATATGGCAATACAGACACTACAAAATCAAAATCACTAAAAAGAATTATAGCCCTACCTGGCTATTGGAGTCTCCAGATAAGATACATAAGTGTGGTACCAGTTTGCTGAGAGTTAATGATTGTGCACCATAGCTGAAAAGAAAATATCAGACAGTAAACAACATCTTACACCAGCTCTTACATTATCTAATTATTGAGTCCTTATAACATAGGAATACTACATTCAAAAACTCAAGAATCAAAGTTTAAAGTAAACTGATTATTATTTTGAGTTTAAGAATTTTTTTAAAGGACTACGTTCAATTAAAACATCCACCATCAGAAACGGAAAAACATTCATTCCCCCCCCCATAAAAATGAAATACATACACATTTAAAGTTGCAATAAGACACAGGCACACTCCTTCTCGTGAACGATAGTTCTTGTGTTTGAAACCAACAGCAAGTCGTTCCCAAATTAACTATTAAAAATAAAAGGCAGGTTAGATTATTGAATGGAAATGCATACTCTTTGATACCAAGGCTAAATAACCAATGGCACGTATAAATTAATATTACAATTAAATATTATAGGTTTCATTTGAAACAATAAGTTTTAATCAAACTAATTTACACGTTTACATTGATCCTAGTATAAAACACTTATGCCAAAAAAAAGAACAGCTCATCAAATATTCTCTTTTTAGTAAACAGACAATAAGAATTGCATCTGAAGATTCAATTCAGTCTTTCTCTTATCTAAATACTCCCCTGTTTTTTTTGGGGGGGGGACATAATCCAGACTTCAATAGGTTGCTCACTTAGCTGAATTTCTTTTACAGCTGATTTTTTAAAAAGTATAAATGTATTTATTTTGCACAGCTTTCTATCTGCCCTCCATTTCCAGTGTTCCTTCTGTTTTTCAGTGAGCTTCTGTGATGATCTCTGGATCTTTCTTCTATTATGAGTTACTTGGATTACACTCATTTGCTTCCACGCATATTCATCTCTATGTTTTTTATCTCCTCTTGTCCATCCCCTTTTGCTTTTATCTTTGTAATTTGTGAGCTTCCAAGAGCTCTTATCTGTTAATGCTGAAAACTTGACACTTACAGGACTAGGTTTGCAATGATATTTCAAAGCAAGCGGACTCCAACTGCATCTCCCTTCGGCTGCAATGCTGCCATTATAATCTCAGTAGTTCAGCAGGCATTCAGGAGAAAAAAGGTTGCCTAGCAACTACCGCACAGTGAGCAATAGCACATTTCCCAGACTGCAGCATTTTATGATTTAGACCCTCCCAGTATTCAAGTCATGGTGTAGCATGATCAAAACAGACAATGTCGCATGTATACATATGGTATATTAAATGCCATTGTTCTTAACTATATTATGACTGAAGAAACAATATCAGATAATGCAATTAAGAACTATCAGACATATATACTTCAAATCAGGTATGTCATTTTAAACAATGTTAAAATATTTTAGTAGAATTTTTATTCAAAAATAGAACGAATCCTTTTCTACTCAGAAACACAAAATTATCACCTTAAATTTAGAGTGATGCTCAATGTATCAAATCCACTGTGAGTAAAAAAAAACCTCAACCTTACATATACTAAATATTTGATGTATTGTTTTGAATATTTCAGAAGCATTCTTTAGAGGCATTGGGCTGACACAAGTGCAGCTGGAATGTGTGCTGACAAATACTTGCAACAACAATAATAATCTTAGAACTGGAGAGCTGGAAGGGACTCTGTGGGGAAATGGTCAGATGAGATGTTCCTAAACCTTTTGGCATTATATCTCTTTTCTGAAAAACCCTCATGCTTCTACTTCCTCTCCTTTTCCCTCTTCCAGTCCTCTTCGAAGGAAAAATTCAATACAATTTAAAATTCAAAACAAACACATATATTAAATAAAAATATTTTAAATTAAAAATAAGTACAAATAGTTTGTCACAAAATGTTAATGAGCATGTAATGTGCTTGAAGAAACAGCATTTACAAATAAAAGAGTTGTTTCAGTTAATAAATCTCAATCTCTTACACACCTCAACCTGCCAATCTGAAAACCAAGGTTAGATGAAAGTGGCACCAGTGCATTTTTCATATACAGAACACCCTATGGAAATGTGGGAAGAATATTAACAAATGCTGGCTATAACTTTCACCCCAATTATAATCACTATCATCTTAGAACTGCAGAACTGGAAAGGGCCCTATGAATCATTGAGTCCAACCCCTGTCAAGGAGGCACAATGGAGAATCAAACTCTCAACTCATGGTTCTGCATCCAGATGCATAAACCACTGAGCTATCCAATAGTTCTCAAGAGATTTCAACAGATTCAGATGACTAGAAACAATGACTAACCAGGCCTAAACTCTAAGTTTATTGAGAATCTATGCAGATGCAAGTGACTGCTCCCTTAATGGATCTATATCAGGCTGTAGTATCCTCCCTTAAACCCTTGGTCCTCATGCAATTTAGTCCTTCCTAGTCTCAGTCACTAGGATTACATGACTATTTCATTTTTACTAGCTCAAATCTCACTTTAAAAAAGTAAATCTTAACAGGTGTGAATCATGCTTTCTGGCAGTGCCAATGTAAACTGCTGTCATAATTCAGGCTGGTAAAGTTAAGGAGAAATCAAGACTACATCTGCATATCTACAAACCTCTGGCAATTGCTTCAACTTTTATAATGCCCTAGCATTGCTGAAAGGATAAAGTTGGCTGTATATTAATGCAAACAGTCTGTGCGCCAAATCAAGCCTACAAAGATTGTCACTCTGGACCAAAGTGACCCTTCCCTTTCCAATTCTTGTGGAATTCTCACTATTTCCTCTTATCCCTGATTGTAGAAAACAGTTCACCTTTCTTATCAGCATGATAAGCAGTGCACAGTACATCAGAGCTACTCAGACTGGAACTGGAGGAGATGTTCCTCCAGTCACCAGTAAAGTTTCTGATCACAGGTAAAAGATAACAATGAGAGTTCCTGTGGTGGGCCACTCTCAAGCCTCTACCAATGCAGGCCTCCAAGAGTGCTCACTACTATTCTTCACTTGCTGCCACCAACCTATCCTTAGTACTCACAAAGGACAAGTTTTTCTTTCAAACACAGTGTTTATTGATTTGTATAAAATAAAAAGGGTGAATCACAGGTAATAAATCAAGTTGTTAATCACGTTTCTCAATTACTAGATCACACAGACTTTTCCCTCACTGACTATCTCTCTCAAATCTATCTCACTCTCTCAATCAACTTCTCTCATCTTTTCAAACTCTCCAAAACTCCCCCTTTCACACATCACACACACCTTATATAACCCAGCTCCTCCCCCTTCTGCATCCCCCTCCCTCCTCTCATTGGCTGAGGTTCCCCTGCCCAGCTGTGACGGACAGGTGAGAGCAGAGCTGTATGCCACAGTTCCTATTTCATCTCCGTGTCCTATTCAGGACACCAAACACTGTGTGACCCGGTGAGTACTTGGAGGAGTCACTTTGTGTGTTACCTGAGCCTCTTTCTCCATACAGAGAGGGAGAAAAAGACTGTGCCTCTTCCTGCATGGAAATTTTTCATGAGGAAGAAAAACCATTGGAAAAGAGGTTGGTAATATTAGGGGAATAACTCTCCCTCTAACATTATTTGGTTTGTTCTACAAACCTCAATTGTTTCTGGGATGATGAAGATAAGAATGTAGATGGGATCAAAATGGCACTAATATTAATATAAAAGAAACCCTGAGAATGTTAAAACAGAGCTTTTGGGTTCTGTCGAATGTAAACATGCACAAGCTATGTAAGAACCATGATTAGAAGACAAATGCAGGTGTCTCATTTTTACATGAAAAACAGATATTCAAGCTATGATATTATTCAAATTAGTTAGTTAGTTTTAGTCACTAAAAAGTGAGGCCTAAATCAAGTGTTAACTCAGACCCACTGGATCACTGGAAATAACATGAATGTTTAATTACCAAGTTTTGACTGATTTAGTAGGTTGATTCTTGTTGTTGGTTAGTCGTTTAGTCGTGTCCGACTCTTCGTGACCCATGGACCAGAGCACGCCACACCCTCCTGTCTTCCACTGCCTCCCGGAGTTGGGTCAAATTCATGTTGGTAGCTTCAATGACACTGTCCAACCATTTCATCCTCGGTCATCCCCTTCTCCTCTTGCCTTCATACTTTCCAAACATCAGGGTCTTTTCTAGGGAGTCTTCTCTTCTCATGAGATGGCCAAAGTATTGAAGCCTCAGCTTCAGGATCTGTCCCTCCAATGAGCACTCAGAGTTGATTTCCTTTAGAATGGATAGGTTTGTTCTCCTTGCACTCCAGGGGATTCTCAAGAGCCTCCTCCGGCACCACAATTCAAAAGCATCAATTCCTCGGTTGTCAGCCTTCTTTATGGTCCAGCTCTCACTTCCATACAGCACTACAGGAAAAACCATAGCTTGGACTATGTGGACCTTTGTCTGCAAGGTGATGTCTCTGCTTTTTAAGATGCTGTTGAGGTTTGTCATCGCTTTCCTCCCAAGAAGCAGCCATCTTTTAATTTCATGGCTGCTGTCACCATCTGCAGTGATCATGGAGCCCAAGAAAGAAAAATCTGTCACTGCCTCCATATCTTCCCCTTCTATTTCCCAGGAGATGACGGGACCAGTGGCCATGATCTTGGGTTTTTTGATGTTGAGCTTCAGACCGGTTTTTGCACTCTCCTCTTTTACCCTCATTACGAGGTTCTTTAATTCCTCCTCACTTTCTGCCATCAGAGTGGTATCATCTGCAGGTTGTTGATATTACTTCCGGCTGTTGATATTTCTTCCGGCAATCTTAATTCCGGTTTAGGATTCATCCAGTCCGGCCTTTCGCATGATGTATTCTGCATATAAGTTAAATAAGCAGGGAGACAATATACAGCCTTGTCATACTCCTTTCCTAATTTTGAAACAATCAGTTGTTCCACATCCAGTTCTAACCGTTGCTTCCTGTTCCGCGTATAGGTTTCTCAGGAGATAGATAAAATGATCAGGCACTCCCATTACTTTAAGGACTTGCCAGAGTTTGCTGTGGTCGCCATAGTCAAAAGCTTTTGCATAGTCAATGAAACAGAAGTAGGTGTTTTTCTGGAACTCTCTGGCTCTCTCCATAATACACTGCATGTTAGCAATTTGGTCTCTAGTTACCCTTCGAAATCCAGCCTGTACTTCTGGGAGTTCTCGGTCCACATACTGCTGAAGCCTGCCTTGGAGGATTTTGAGCATAACCTTGCTAGCGTGTGAAATGAGTGCAATTGTAAGGTAGTTGGAGCATTCTTTGGCACTGCCCTTCTTTGGGATTGGCATGTAGACTGATCTTTTCCTGTCCTCTGGCCATTGCTGAGTTTTCCAAACTTGCTGGCATATTGAATGTAACACCTTAACAGTGTCATCTTTTAAGATTTTAAATAATTCAACTGGAATGCCATCACCTTAACTGGCCTCGTTGTTAGCCATGTTTTCTATTAAGAATGCCCTCTTGTCTCTCCTTGCTATTCTTTGGCAGTCTTTGTTCAGTTTTCTGTAACTTTCCCTATCTCCCTTGCATTTTGTTTCCCTTCTCTGCTATTTGTAAGCCCCCGATGGACAGCCACTTTGCTTTCTTGCATTTCCTTTTCTTTTGGGTGGCTTTTGTTGCTGCCTCCTGTACAATGTTACGAGTCTCTATCCAAAGTTCTTCAGGCACTCTGTCCACCAAATCTAGTTCCTTAAATCTGTTCTTCACTTCCACTGTGTATTCATGAGGGATTTGGTTTAGATTATACCTGACTAGCCCAGTGGTTTTTCCTACTTTCTTCAGTTTAAGCTTGAGTTTTGCTATAAGAAGCTGATGATCAGAGCCACAATCAGCTCCAGGTCTTGTTTTTGCTGACTGTATAGAGCTTCGCCATCTCTGCCTGCAGAGAATACAATCAATCTCATTTCGGTATTGCCCATCTGGTGATTTCCATGTGTAGAGTCGCCTCTTGTGTTACAACCAAATTTAAACCTATCTAATTTTATTAAATGAACTGATATCGCTCAGTGCACTGGAGCAGGTGACTGTACAGCCAAAGGAATCCCAACTGTGCCTCCAAGAATGGGAAGCAACCAAAGTCATCTTGAACATTTGTGGCTGATAGGGTTATATGCCCTGCAAACTGGGTGGCCTTACACGTATGGTCCAAGAGCACCACTAGCAGCAGGACCTCTAAACCACAAGTGAATATTTATGCCCCAAATCTCTGGGAAGGTTCCTATGAGTTGGAATTGACATGGAAGCAAATAATAGTGATTAATTATGGTAATCAGAGTTACATGAATAAATTAACAATTCTTTGATATGCTACAAAGATGCTTCTAATGTGACATAACTTAAGTGTTAGTTTTACAACTACAACTTGTGCAGTCTTTTAAGAAGCCATCCCACTTCACACTCACAGAAGAGATGTTATTAGAGATGGTGATGGATTGGAAAAAAAAGGTGATTTGGTGGGACATTTACAAGCAGCCTGGCTGCAAAACAGAAACCAGGGTTTGCCTTCTGGCAGCCAGCCTGCTTCTCAATGTCTTGACAATCAGCTGGTCAGCAGGTCATTGACCAGCAGGCTGGCTGTGGGAAGGCAAACCTCGTTTCTGCTCCTGCAGCCAGTCTGCATGGAGGGACTAATAAAAATGGGTAAATATTTCTCTCTTCATATTCATCGGGGTCTCCAGACCTGACAAATATGAAGGGATGAATATCCACAAATCAGCGATATTTCATGTTTCATCCCCATATCTAGATATTATTTGTAATACAGTCCCTGCTATGATACATGTGTGCATCCTTGTATTTTTCTTTAATCCTAATTTATTAATATATAAAATGTAGTCAATTAGACTATCCACCTCAAAAGTCACACAGCTATCAAAAACAGGAATTTTTCTAATAGAGGAATGAATAGGATTTTTTTAATCCACAGTTTTTGAAGTATGATTTGAAAATATATGTTTTTTTTTAATAATTTTATTTTCAAAACTATTGGGTAATGGGGAAGGAATACAAAAGGCAAAGGGCAGTGGGGGGGATGGAAAAAGGGTTTTGAGAATAAGAAAACATCAAATGCATAATCATTCAATCTTTCATATCAAGTATATAAACATCTAATCTATTCATGTTCCAATAAAGGTTCATCTTTCTTCTTCTTTTTCTTCTTCTTCTTTTGACTATTTTGTCTATGTATTAACCTCTTTAGCTTTCAACTTATACGTGTAATACAGCTTAAATCTATGTTATTCCCACAGCATCAGAACACCAAGGCCAATTGTGAAATATATCCCCTCTTTCACCCTCCTTTTTTCTTGAGAATACACTCAACAGATCCAAAATAATATAAATTCTGCTCTCCCCTCCCCTTTCCTCCCTGTGCTTGTTTTGTTTCTGCGACTCTTTTTTCTTCCATATTTTAAAAGGGGGAACAATATCATTCAAAGTTTGCTTTTCCACCTCAATTTTCTTATCTGTTATCGCTACATCGCTTACTGGGTCGCCCTCCATCCCTTGTATATTATCTGATATCTTCATCAATACAACCGGTTCTGAGATCTCTTTTTGGTGTAATTTAACCATTTGAAAATATATGTTAATGTATCTTCCACCATTTTAAGAATATGTAACACTTCACCAGATATCCTTATCTTCAGGTAAATCATTTAAGCTGCAATTGATAAATATTGTCTACAGAAACCTTACTTGGAAGTAATCATGTTCAGGATCAGTGTGCATTTTAAAAAACAAGAGCATGTATATACACAATAATTATCAGTGTACAATGATGATGTGCAAATGTGAACAGGCTCCTGGTATCCTTAATATTTGTGTAGAAGAGTGCACACAAAGAACATAAAACATCATTTCCTGAGAATTCCTCTTTTACAGACATTTTTAAAAGTTCAGCTCTCCTTTGTTTCTAGTTGCAATTATATCCTTCACTTTTGACAAAACATAATAGATCTGGAGACACATCCTGAATTCAAGAAACACCATGCCGCTGTTTCAACAAGAAACACAAAACAAAACAAAAGCAAAAAAAAGAGAGATGTTTTGGCACTTTAAAGACTAATTGCTATAGTTCAATGTAAGCTTTCATGGAATGTTGCCCACTTCTTCAGACATAAAGTAAAATAGTATAACAGTTAGTCTTTGAAGTGCCACAATGTCTTTTCCCCGGCTTTTGTTTTGTTTTGCATTTCTTGTTGAAATGCTTGCAAAACTAACACAACTACAAGTCCGAAAACCATACCATCGGTGGAGCTACTTGATCCATTAACTTCAAAACAAGATTTTGTGCTTGTTCTCGAACTTGATCTTTGGCATCTCCCATTCGATCCATCAACACTACAAGAACTAGGAGACAGAAACAAGAATTACAGTGCTAAGTAAGGTATGTTTCTCAATAAAAAGTTAACATGAACCTCACTGTCAAGTCAATAATGTCTAACCCAACAATGCAGCAGCAGATCAAGTCTTACTTTTAAGACTTCACAGTTTTACATAAAGCAAAGGTGGATCATAGCATACCATAAAAATAAAAAAGTAAAAGTTTATATATATATAAAGTCACTTTCAAAGCAATTAACTTCATTACACCAACCCAACACTTTCAAAACAATGTGTAATCTCTTGACCACTCCGGACCTCTAAATATAGACAGAGAGAAAATACTGCACCACTGTGAACTACTGCAAATCCTATGAATCCTCAACGTAGAAGCTATTCACTAAGTACTCCAAAAAGTAAAAAAAAATCTCTTCTCCAAGGCTGTTATTTGCCCATGATTTTACAATATTACAACCTATCCACCTGTTCTTTGTTTTTTATTAAACACAGCCTTCTCATGTCCACTACTGTATAAAAACCATTGTGCAAAATCTTTTAAATATAAAATGATAACATTTGGTCATATATGGTCACAATTTCTTTTGTTTAGTTAACTTCTGAATGTGCAGACTTTTTAAATACCAAGTTAATGGCCCAATCAGGTACCTTAAAAGTTTTGATTAACCAGCCCAGTTGATTTTACAGGTAGAACCTACATTGATAATATCTTGCTTGCCAGTTCATTGTTAAGTTTCTTTCTTTTTCTTCCAAAGAATGTCAGAGGATGAATATACTTCCAAGTGCTTGAAATCCCAATTTGGAACTTAGAAGTAACTGACTGCATATAATGTTACTTGTAATTAATTATTTTCTCTAATAAATAAGATGGAACTATATCATAATACAACTGTAGCTTCACAAGGAGTGACACAACTCTTTTGTGATGTAACACTAGCTTTTCAATTACTTCCATAATATAAGCATGTAGCCTTCCTAAATATTAATAAGGAATATTAAACAATTCAAGCACTGATTTATATTGTGTCCACAGCTAAATGAAAATAATATTATCAAAAATAACTTACAGTAGCATTACATTTTAAAAAGGAAAAAATATAGGTACTAGTTACACGGAATTACAACTGTTACTAACTACCTTTGAACCATAAGTATCTGAGCTCTGTTTAATACATGAAGACTGCACACAGTTTTAAAAACCTGTGTAGCTATAATTACTCCACCACAAGCCATACATGGCTTGACTTTCAACTAGCATCATAAAATTTTAAAAAATGTTCATATATAAACAGGCAAGTGCATTTCTTCTCACAATACATTTATGATATGGTTTTTGTGTATTAATTGTTGCCTGTGTAACAGCCCAAATCCTGTTGGGCAAGTTCTGCCTGCACAACAGGATAATGTCAGCAGCAATGGCATTTTTGGGGTGCACATGACTTCATCTCATTGCACGTCTGCCATGTGAACCCCAAAATAAAAAAGGAAGTCTTTCACCACTAGCAATCTATTGATATCATTCCAGACATATGAAACAATACTTTTGTGAATATACAGTGGTGCCTCCACTTACGACCATAATCCGTTCCAGAAGATGGACATAGCTCGAAATACATTGAAATGCAATTAATCCATTTAAAGGCCGAAGAAAACAATCACCGAAAAAAAAAAATCACTGCAAGACTCATTGGAAACACGATTAATCCCTTCTAGCAGAAGGGGGAGGGGAAAGAAAAGCAATCAAGCGTGCAAGACCCATTGGAAAGGCGCAGAAAACAAATGGAGCAGATCAGAAATGCACAGAGAACAAAGGGGGCAGGTTGGAAATGCAAAGAAAACAACGGAAAAAGCAAGGGAAGCATGCAGGACCCATTGGAAATGGGGAAGCTCCCCCAAAAGCAACCAAACCTCCCAAGACCCATCAGAAATGGGGGGAAAACCCCCAAAAGCAACCAAACCCCCCAAGACCCATCGGAAATGGGGAAAAAAACACTCCAAAAAGCAACAAAAAACCCCAAGACCCATCAGAAATGGGGGGAACCGAAAAACAAACAAATCCTCCAAGACCCATCACAGCACAGAAAAAAACCCCAGCTGAAAACCACGCTGCAAAAACAGCCAGAACAGTTTTTTAGAGGAGAAAACAGCACCTTACAAGGCAGCCTGAAACTTCCCTGCAAACACACACACACACACTCTCAGAAGCAAAAGGAGGCAGTCCCAAGCTTCCTCCAACGCACATTCTCTAACTGCTGGCGTGAAAGAGCTACAAAGAAGCAGCCTCGTTGCCACCTACCTTTTTCCCTGCCTTTTTCTGTTTCTAAGTGGAAGCTCCGGTCGCAAGTAGAAGCAAAATTTTGCGGCCAGAGCTGGTTGTAACTCGAAATGGTCGTAAGTAGGGACGTTTGTAAGTTGAGACACCACTGTATCTTAGACTCAGAGGTGCTGCTCCATGCCAGCCAACACAGAGATGCTATGCATTTCTTACACAATAGCATCACATTTTAATTAGGATGAAATGGGAGAAATATCCACATCAAATAGATTTTTATAGTATATCCTAGCAGAAGCAATTCTACAAATTATAGAACTCCAGTCACATATTACCACATAGACCAGTGGTTCCCAAACTTTTGTAACCCAAGTATTCTTGGACTGCAACTCCCAGAAACCCCAACCAGCACAGCTAGTGGTGAGGTTTCTGAGAATTGCAGTTCAAGAAAACCTAGGTTATCCAAGGTTAGGAACTAGTGGCAAAGATGAAATATCTCCTTTAAGATTTGAAAATTATTATGAATATCTTGGGTTAAAAACAGATCAAAAAGCACTAAAATTTTAAATACTGTACCCAAAACAACATAAATATTATTGATCAGAAATAATGGATTAAATCCAGTAGTCACAACCAGAGTAAGATAAAGGTAAAGATTCCCATTGACATTTAGTCCAGTCATGTCTGACTCTAGGGCGTGGTGATCATTCCCGTTTCCAAGCCATAGAGCCTGTGCTTCTCCAAAGACAGTTTCCGTGGTCACGTGGTCAGCACGACTAGACACGGAACACCGTTACCTTCCCACCAAGGTGGTACCTATTTATCTACTCACATTTTTATATGCTTTCGAATGGCTAGGGTGGCAGGAGCTGGGTCAAGCGATGGACGCTCACTCCATCACGTGGATTCAATCTTACAACAGCTGGTCTTCTGACCTTGCAGCACAGAGGCTTCTGCGGTTTAACCCGCAGCGCCATCACATCCCTACAACTAGAGTAAGCCCACTGAATAATGGAATTTAGAGGAATTGACACCGTCCCCACTGATTCAATGGGTCTACTCTAGTTGCAACCTACTACTAGATCTACTATATCTCAGCTATTGCTATTTTAATAACTAAGGGACACAGTATAGCTCAAGTTAGATATAACCCAGTGTTCTGTTTGTACATGTGGCATCTGTTAATATCACAAAAGGCTCTCTCTACTCAATGTTAGTTTTCTGTAATTTGTCTGGTTCCATATGCAAAGTTATATAAATGTTACCCACTTTGTGTACTCATGTTCACAAATGTATGTATGTGTCCATATACCATTTAGTAGGGGTTATTTAAACTGCTGTTAATTGTTCTGGACGATTTTCTCTTCCCTTGTCTTTCAAGCTAATTAATACAAAGTGTTACTTCTTCTGTTCCTCATTAGTCCAGAAGGAATGATCCTTAAATGAAGCTACATTTTAAAATACCCTTCCAAGTTTACTGCTTTTTTAATTATATATTGCTATAGCAGACAGACATAGAAATACAGTGGTGCCTCACTTAGCGATGTTAATTCGTTCCGAAAAAATCGCTGCTAAGTGATTTCATCGCTAAGCAAAAAGCGGTTTCCCATTGAAATGCATTGAAAACCAGATAATCTGTTCCAATAGGAACGAATTGCTGTCCTTAAGTGAAAATCGCCATAGGAAACATCGCTAAGCGAAACACAGTTCCCCAATTGAAATGCACTGAAACCTATTCAATGCATCTCAATTGGGGGGGGGGGGAATACAACAACAAATTTAAAAAGTGTCAGAACAAAGTCAAATTTAGTTAACAAAGGGTTTATTAAGTGCACTTTATGATTTCAAACATTTTAAACAGTAAACTTTAACTTTATAAATAACAGAAAACCATTTAAAAAATAGCAAACATGAGGCTGTTTAAACCATCGTTAAGCAACACAGGGGATCCAAAATTTAATCGCTATGTGAAGCATGGTCCCAACCATCGCTAAGCAAAAATCGCCCATAGGGACCATCGCTAAATGAAGCGCAAAAATGCTCCGAAAAAGTCATCGCTAAGCGATTTCATCGCTAAACGGAGCGCCCGTTAAGCGAGGCACCACTGTATATCACAATGTTCAAATATATGTTTATGTGCCTTTAAAACATAATTTTCTGAACTATATGCAAGACATGTCTTTTAGATACATATAAAATATCCCCCAAAATGCATAATCTTTCAGTGAAATGTTCCTTATAAGGAAAAAAAAACCCTGCTTACTGTAACTGCACTGATAATTATATGGCAAAAAAGTGCATATAAATTTTGCTATCATTCTTAGGAACACTTAAGCTCTTAACAAAGCATCAAACAATAGAGCTGAATAATTCCATTTGCCCTTGGACGACCCAAACATACATAGATCGGTTCAAAAGTTTGATCCTATAATAATGAATCTGAATAGTACTTAATGTCATAAGTGATTTTGCATGACTAAAGCCAAGCTGTGATTTGATGTAAATAACACTGACATTTAAAAGCACTGAGACACTTTTCCCAACATTTTTAAAATAAAAACTAGATGAAAAGAAACATGTGTACATTATTGAAACTAGAGAAATCCTATGTGTGTGAATACTTGGAACTGCTGTATTAGTAAAAAGCATTTATTCCTGGTAAGTCATATCTTCCTCTCTCTCCCCCTCTCTGTAATTTTATTTATAGTAGGCAGTTAATTTTGCCTAGTGAAGAAGACCAAATTATTTGCATTAAAAACTGTAAAGGATACATTTGTATCTGGTATAAAAGAGTAGCTCGTTTACTTATCCCCCCCACCTCTTTCTCCAGCCTACTCTTCCTAAGCAGAGAAAGTACTAATTCATGAATTTAGTACATTACTATATTCACTCAGACATCAACTTGTCATTTGTATGAGAGTTTAAACTAGGGTAAACACTGATCTATCATGGTAATGTCTATCACAAAATGCAGCCAAGTAGGTATGGGTACAGTCAGTGCCACAAAGGGACATACTCAGAGTAACTACAGGAACAACCCTTTCACAGTGGAAGAAAAGTGGTATGTAAATGTCCTTGGAAATAAGAAGTGTTGCCAGATCAAAGCTCATCAACATTTCTCTACAGTGGCCACCAGATGTGTATAAGAGATCCCCAAAACTGTGCCTCCCACATCCTTCTTCTGTCCCTTCATTCTGGCAGGCCAGGCTGCTGTGGACATGTCCATAATGTCACGGTGTCAGCAGGAAGCAACAGGTCAATAAAAGACAAGATTGCACTGCCCTGCTACATTGCCAAGGATGAGGCACGGAATCAAGGAGAACAAGGATGCTATCTCACTAACTTGCCCATCCACTTTGCCTCCTTCTCATGCAGACGTTGCAGTGGGTGGAGTGGCACACGGTGAGGTCTGAAGGTTTTGTGTGCATGCTGGGTGCATTTGTGCTGCTTGCTCTAGGCACCAACATTTCAAGTTACAGTTCTACAGTGGTGCCCCGCTTGACGATTACCTCGTTAGACGAGGAAATCACTTAACGATGAGTATTTTGCGATTGCTATAGCGATAGCAAAACGGTGTTTTAATAGGCAAAAATCAGCTGTATCATGATTGGTTCCCTGCTTCGGGAACCGATTTTTCGCTACACGATGATTTAGAAACAGCTGATTGGCGGTTCTCAAAATGGCCGCCCACTGTTTCCCAGACCTCATTTCGCAAGACAGGCATTGGAAAAAGGCCACCCTATGGGGGATCTTTGCTGGACGAGCAGGTATTTCGCCCATTGGAACGCACTGAACAGTTTTCAATGTATTCCAATGGGCTTTTTTATTTCACTTGACGACGATTTCGCTCTACAGCGATTCCACTGGAACGGATTAACGTCGTCAAGCGAGACACCACTGTACTTAGCAGAGATTACTTCACAGAAGAGGTAGATGATAAAACAATCACCTTCCTCTATGGCCCTCTGAATATTGCTGAGAAGCAACTCCTACAATCCCTGATCACTGGGCTTTATGATTGGAGTTACACTGAATCCTAGCTAGAAAGCCACAAATTCTGCATCCCTGTCCTTAAAAAACAATGGTATGGTTCTTCCTCCAGCAGCTGTTCCCCTGTATTTTAAAAAGAAAACAAATATCTAAATGTGTATACTCCTCTCAAGACAAAACCTGGGAAACTGACAATCTGTAAATTAAGGCTATCATAAGAAATTAATAACTGTGTCTACATCACTCATGTTCAGCTTTTTTTCAAAGGAAATGCAAAATCTACTCACCAGTTCCTATGTAAGATTTAAAGCGTCCCAGCAGTCTGTCAACAAAGGCACCTAGGAGATCTAGTCCAAGTAATGATACCTATGGAAATAATTAAAGCATTAAAAAGCATGAATGCTACACTTCACGAGCTATCTAAGTAGGTCTCACAGATGTATAATGTCTGACAAAATAGGATTCTTGAAAGTTATGTAGCTGGTCTTGTACACTACAAATAAATGATATTTTGTGTTTGGAGCAAATGTATAGCACAACTTTCAGCTCATATTTGGTTTCTACTTCAACATGTACAGCAGAACTCAATCTTACAAAGGGGCAAATTCTGGCCCATTGGCTGCACTGTACCTCAGAGTCCCAAATGCACCCTCTGCCACATCACACCTTTGTGATCTCTAAGGGGTATGTGTGGGAATATTGCCATGTTTTTCAATCTCTTCCCCACTCCCCATTTTCTTTTATTGTTTTGTAGAAATTGATATGAGGGGGCTTTTATTTTTAGTCAGTTAAAAAGAACCTTTTTATAAATAAAAATATATATTTTGGGGTGTGATGTGCAATGTGATATGACCAAGACAAGATTGGGAATGTGCAGCCATGAACCTTTGTTATAAATTTTGGTGTAGGATAACAGAATCATCAAAACCCAGTGTCAAACAATACAGTGCTCACCAGAGCTCTCCCCCCTCCCCAACTCTGTTACTGCTGGGCACTCCTCTAAGCAGTTAAGTCTGCAGTACAGAAATTTATGGAATAATAAATAAATACAGGCTGTGGATGGTACAGAAAAAAGTATAAGAGTTCCAAAAATCATAACCAGATCTGTGTGTCAGGCTCCTATGTTAAGTTTCAAAATGGAGACTGCCAACTCAGTTCAGAGATTCAGGTTTCAAATTCGACCTATAACCTGTGTCTGCAGCCTCTCATCCCCATTTTGAAACCTACTTTTAATAAAAGAGCTTGGAACACAGATCTGGTCATTATTTTCAGAACACTTATGTGTTTTTTTCTCCTGCTTATCACACAGCTGTGTGATAACCAGTCTGATGAAAAAGCATTGTAAAGCAAGCTGCTTATATACTGCCCCATAGCACTTCAAGCACTCTGGGCAGTTTACAAGTTAATTATGCAGGCTACACTCCCCCCCTCCCGTACTCATTTTAACAACCTCAGAAAGATAGAAGGCTGAGTCAACCTTGAGCCGGCTACCTGGAATAGAACCTTTGGTCATAAGCACAGTTTTGGCTGCAGTACAGCAGTTTAACCACTGCACCATGTAGACCGGTACAGAAAAGCTAACATTATGTTTTTGATTTTTAGTGCTTTCATAAAGTTATTACCAATCCATGGCTCTGAAATGTGTACAAGGATCACATGCCATTTTTTGTTTTCAATTCACTTCTTGCATCTCAAGAAGAGGTAGGCATCTTTCAGTCTTGAGAGACTATAGTAACATGCTCTGAATTAGAGGTCTTGGAACATTGTCTAGGGGTGGCTGAGAAGACTAATTTGAGAGTGACAATTCCTTACACACTGAAGACAAATACAATCTGTCCCCTGTCCAACTCCCTGGTTTTGCTGGTTTTGCTGATGAACAAGTGCCTCTTCAAATTGGGAGAGGTCATCCTGCACCGCCTGCCTCACGTTGAATGCTCATATGTCAGGTTTTCCCATCTGTTGAGGTCCATTCCTAACGCCTTCAGATCCCGCTTGCAAATATCCTTGTATCGCAGCTGTGATTTCCCTCCGGGGGAATTTTCCCTGCACTAATTCTCCATACAGGAGATCTTCTGGAATCCAACCATCAGCCATTATCACAACATATTCAAGTCAACACAGACATCGCTGTTCCAGTAATGTATACATGCTGAAAATTCCAGCTCGTTCTAGGACTACTGTATTTGGAACTTTGTCCTGCCAGGTGATACCAAAAATCTGTCAGAGGCAACGCATATGGAAGGTGTTCAGCTTCCTCTCCTGCCATGCACAAAGGGTCCAGGACTCACTGTAGTACATGAGTGTACTCAGGACACAGACTCTATAGTCCTGGATTTTGGTATATGCTGTCACTTCTTATTAAGCCTTAGAGTCTGTGTGAGTCTAGAAAACATGGTGGCTGCTTTGCCAATGCCTTTATCCAGCTTGACATCTAGAGAAAGCGAGTGTCAAAGATTGTTGAGCCAAAGTACACAAAATTGTAAACAACCTCTAATTCTTGTGTAGAGATGGTAATAGAGGGAGGTGAGTCCACGCCCTGGCTCATGACTTGTGTTTTCTTCACGCTGATTGTTAGTCCAAAATCTTGGCAGGCCTTACTAAAACGATTCATAAATCGTTGGAGCTCTTCAGCAGAATGGGCAACAACAGCTGCATCATCAGCGAAGACGAAGTCCCGCATGCATTTCAGCTGGACTTTGGTCTTCACTCTCAATCTAGGGAGGTTAAAGAGCTTTCCATCTCATCTAGTCTGGAGATAGTCACACTCTGTTGCAGTTCCAAAATTCCACGACAGCAAAAAAGATCCCAAACAGAGCTGGCGTGATGACACAGCCCTGTTTCACTCCGCTTCAGATGCCAAAGGGATCTGATGTTGAGCCATCAAAATCTATAGTACCCATTTCTTCATGAAAGGACCTGATGATGTTAAGGAGTCGAGTATTTTAAAAAGGCCCAGTCCCTGCTAACCAAATCAAAGGCCTCTGTAAGATCTATGAAGGCCACAAAGAGTAGCTGACGTTGTTCCCTACATTTCTCCTGCAACTGTCTGAGGGAAAATACTATGTCAATGGTGGATCTATTAGCTCGAAATCCACACTGTGATTCTGGACAGACCCTGTCTGCAAGCACCTGGAGTCTCTTCAGCACAACATGGGCAAGCAGCTTCCCTACAATGCTGAGAAGAGAGATGCCACAGTACGTATTGCAGTTGCCTCTATCTCCTTTGTTTTTATACAATGTGACTATATCACACAGCTCAATGGTGATGATCTCTTTACAGCACTTCAGCAGGGATGTTATCCTTCCCAGGTGCCTTGCTGGAGGTGAGGGTATCTAAGGCTGCTTTTATATCTGCTAAAGTTGGTTCGCTGTCCATCTCTTCCAAGGCAGGAAGGCACTCAATGCTGCTTAATGCCTCTTTGGTTACTACATTCTCTCTAGAATATAGCTCAGAGTAGTGCTGCACCCAGCATTCCATCTGCTGCGCAAGGTCCTGGATGATCACACCTGTAGCAGACTTCAAAGGTGCAGATTTCTTCTGTATTGGACCTAAAGCTTGCTTGATACCATCATATATTCCCTTGATGTTACCTGTGTCCACTGCTATCTGTATCTGAGAGCACAGCTGAAGCCAATAATTGTTGGAACATCTCTTGGCAGCCTGTTGGACTTGCCTACGAGCAGCTCGAAGAGCTTGCAAGTTGTTCTCACTAGGACAGGCTTTGTATGCTGCTAGAGCTCTCTTCTTTTCCTCTTTGGCTGGCATCAGCTCCTCTGAATGGGCTTCAAACCAGACTGCCATATTTTTGTTCTTCTTGCCAAATGTGGACAAGGCGGTGTTATAAACAGCGTTCTTGAAACATTCCCATCATTCAGGTGCATTTGCATCAGCCGAGCCTAGAAGTTTCCTCAAGCGCTTGGGAAATTCCTCCACTTTTATCTGATCGCAAGTCTTGCTGATGTCGATATGTGGTCTTCCTTCCTTTTTTGTGTGATATAATCTCTTTATTCGCAGGTTTACTCTGCTGCACACCAGGAAGTGATCAGTATCGCAATCAGCACCCTGATAACTGCATGTGATCATAATACTAGGAAGGCTAGAGCGTCAATGAGGATCAAAACAAGCTGATGCTAATGCTTCAATCTTGGATGTCTCCAAGAGATTCCTTGTTGAAGCTGACACAGACCATAATGACAGCAAAACTCGAGCAAGTGTTGGCCATTTTTGTTCATCTTCCCAATGCCAAAACAGCCTAAACAAGTGGGCCAAGAATTGTAATCAGCACCAACTCTAGTGTTAAAGAATCCGAGAATGAACAGCGGCTCTCTCGTGGTTATTTTTTTGATAGTAGCTGCCAGATTGTCATAGAAATAGTCTTTGACTTCTGTCATCTACAGCAGTGGTTCTTAACCTTGGGTTACTCAGGTGTTTTTGAACTGCAACTCCCAGAAGCCTTCACCACCAGCTGTGCTGGCTGAGGTTTCTGGGAGTTGCAGTTCAAAAACACCTGAGTAACCCAAGGTTAAGAACCACTGCTGTAGATGACAGTGTTGGTGCATATGCACCAATGAGGGTGACCAGTCCTGCTGATGAGTGGAGCTGCAGAGACAGGATTCTTTCACTCCCCACGGTAGGTGGAACAGTGGATCTCAGCAGAGTATTTCTAACCACAAAGCCAACACCATATTCCCTGGTCTCATTCAATGGCTTTCCCTGCCAGAAGAATGAGAAGTCTTTTTCTTTAACAGATCCCTAATCTGGCAATCTCATCTCTTAGGCAACAATGTCCATCTGCAGCCTACTCAGTTCCATGTCGATGACAGCTGTCTTGCCTGCATTGTCTATTTCCTGCAGGTCATCAGAGAAGCCAGGGATCATTGTTTGAACATTCCAGGTGCCCAGCTTTAAGGCCGAAGTTTTCTTATGATTGTTGCATGGTGCAGGGTTATCGATCTGCTTATCCACTTTCACCCTGAACCCCACGCACCCCATGAGGTTAACAGAGAATGGTGAGGCAGCACCTTACTGGCTGGGGACTGCCCAGCTTAAGGCGGGCGGTAGCTACCTAGTGAGATGTAATGACCTCTCCCACCATTGGAAGTAGCCCCTGGTGTCACCCTCTACACCAGGGGTCTCAAACTCAATTTACCTAGGGGCCGCTGGAGGCAGAGTCTGGTGAGACTGGGCCACATCAGATTTTCTGCCAAGCAGAGCAAGAGCGCGAGGAAGCCGCCCAGGAGTTTCCTTAGCCTGGCTTGGGCTCAGAGGAGGGGAGCGCGAGCGCTCCTCACTGGCCACGACCCCCTCCAGCTCCTTCTTCACTACCACCACCACCAGCAGCAGGACAAAGAAGCGGAGAAGGGAG